GTTTTACACACCACACGGCAATTGTACGTCAAATAACGCGTTGGGACTCATTATGTTTTAGTTCCCACTTGGTTGATCATAAAAAACAAATTATTAATATTTGTTATCCACTATTCTTGCCTATTCAATTTAATAAGATGCGCCAATGAAATCCCTGAAATATGCACTCAAATGGCAATTCAAATAACTTTATTTATCGCGGGTTCAAATGATATTCCTTTTGATATTACGAATTCTATCACACTCCATTTAATTAAAAACCACATATATTTAGAATAATATTATTTGCATTTCCTATGTAAATAATGTGCGTATATATACAAATTAGTAATTCATTAGTAATTAGTAATATTCTTATTGTCAATTCCGATTCGAAACCAAGGTCAAATTCAAGTTGTTATCATAATTCAACAAAATATATACCAAAATGTTACCCAAACACGTTTGATCAAAAGGTTACAAAATCTGTCCAACCTATATAGTGACCATATATAATTTCCGTCGAACTCGTCACAAAGACACGTGACGCAAACACAAATCATCTTTAAATAGTGTTGATCGCTTGCCTTTAATAATTTATACTTCCAGTGAATTAAGGCAATGTCAACGTCACACCTATATTTTAACACTAATCCCAAAATGAGTGTTGGTGTGAAGCGGTTGGGTAGATATTTCACAACATTTTTACGAAACTTTTTGGGTGACTCTCGCAAAAAGGTACATTGTAATATAATATCCGTGTATTTTTTGTAATTTTTAAAAATGCGAGAATGTCAATCAAAATTGGCGCGGTCATAAATTGTATACCAATAACAATGCCCGGATATATCTGAGTTGTTATTTATTTTTATATTATTGAATCGTTGTTTGTATTGCCTTCAGCTCGTGTTTATTTCAAATGGGACAGCAGATAACACCTGCGTCAAAGAAGACAAGGTCATTTATCCGAGAAACAGCTGAAACAAATAATAGATTAAATATGCTAATATAACGTTTTCTGTGAAATTTATTGTTTTAATGTGATCACTGTGGGTCAAGGCAGGTCGCTTGTCAACGCGACGGATGCAGTTTTGACAGAGTCCGGTTATTGGCTCACACTGTTCAGGACTTCAACTAGGACAGTGTGGCAGTTACTCAAGACAAAGTTGAGATTGTAGTTTCGTAGATGACCGTGAACCCAATTATTTCAACGATAATACGTGAGACTAAACATTTTCCATAGATATTTTCTAATTAAAATTAAATTTAGTTAAGGTGGAATCTAAATAAATAAATTAGTAAACTATTTAGTGGACTTTGTTTGGCACTTTTTAATATTCAAGTTCAAATCAAAATACAACAGTTTAATCTTCAAGTACTTGACGCTGCGTTATTTGGTACAAAACTATGACATTTCAGACATTGGCTATACTTATACTTTACAGTTTAGTGCCACAAAACCCCGTGAAAAAAGAAATATCTTTTGCCTGTTTTTAGAGCTATTTGCCGTTGTTTCCTTTGTCAAGATTTCGATCGGTGGTATAGAGCGAACAAAAATATAAATCTCTTACAAGGTACACGCTTATGTCTAGAAGTATTACAAAATTAACGTTATTTTTAGGGAGCGATGAGTTTTAATGACGAAATGTTTAGGGAAAACATTGCTATATTGTCATTTCAGGCATATTTTATTTGACAAAAACATTCACATACTGATGTTTTAATGATTAATCATAGAGAGTATTTAAAACGAAATACATCATACATTGTCACGTAAACGATGCGATACACCCCCTCTAATATATCTTAATTCACGTGTTTACAAAATCAAATGTCCGCACACTTGTCTTACATGTATTCCTCCCGTGGGCGTCTTCATAGAGATAATGTCCAGCGGGTATAAGTGAGCCCAGTCACTCAGGCGCGTCGCAAGTTCTTATTTTCATAACATTGAACGATAAAAGGGAAACAAAGCTGACGCAAAACGTGCAGTAAGTCGATTCCAACCTATTTTCCTCTCGTGTGTAAGGACTTAATAAAATAGATATTCCGCGTACCTGTATATCGAACTCATTCTTTTTTATTTTTGGTGAACGGCCGCATGTAAATTGATGAAAGGCATATCAGTGATGGTATGATGGTGTTGAATTTAGATGATCCATACAGCCTTGATGACAAGAGAACGGCTCATCGCGAATAGACCTCGTGATCTTCTTTGTGATTGCGTATGTTGAAATCATTCGAAACACTTTACAATGAGTTGTTCATGAAATTAAGCGCTTCTTGGGCAGCTGTTGATTTGTCCGCGGATTTAGGTTGAAATAGATCTCGACGACGGTCAAGGACTCGGTGCGCAACTCGACTAAGTGCCAGGGACCCTGATAACAATTTGGAGGAAGCGTCCCCTTTTGGTCGCTTTGTCATTTCTCTGCATCACATAGCAAGATTAGTGTTGAAGTTTTTCTTTTAATTTATATTGGCCCTTTCTTGTCGTCTTTTCTTGTTTTCCCGGTTCGATTCTGAAGCGAGTCTGCGTGAGTCAGATTAAAGGAACCGTCAAACAGTTCTCTATTCATCTTAAGGATAAGACGCCTTAACGTATTTTAACTCCATTTCTCTGTGGTTTAACAATTGAATTTATCGCGTTCGACGGACTCGAGGCGAGAACTAGAGCTGCGAATCTTGATGAAAAACGCATGACCCAATGAAAGAAAACAACAATTATACTATTGCTCAAGTAATTGCATCTTTAAAGAATAAAGGTAATCGAAAAGATAATATTTCAGTTCTGATGGAGAGGCCGATTCAGATCTTTTATTATAACATACACATGCATTTTTTTAAATTTCGGAGCTATAAAGGCGATTTATGGACCAGTTATTAAAACGGGAGTGAGCGTGCAATTCCATTCACTCATCTCAGATTTCGCATTATACACCGAACTGTTCAACGTGTTGTACGTGAAAATAATTCAGTAGCGAGTTTTGCTTTGTGTCAAAATGGCCGTCAACTATGGATTATGTATTCAAAGTTAATAACACTATTTCGTAATTTGCATCTATATTTATTCATTAAATTTATGCAATATTAATTAGTGATGAGTTTATTAACTTCTATCTTCCTCGTGCGTTATTCAACTGTTATAAATAAATTATGTTAATTGTATTAAAGAAAACAATACGTGTTTTTTTTATATTACTGTTCGACGCTCGTCTTGTTTAATTGGGTCATAAAACTAAATTGCCATCGATGAGGATAATTATACACGCAAACGTTTCACGTTTGTACTTGCAAATTCCATCGATGCGGAGACAACGTATACTGTAGCACAATTGCCATGGTTACCATCCACGTACGCACCGTGACGGAGGGTGCTTGCCGTGCTGTGGATGGATACTCGAATTGAAACAAACTTTTGTATAGACCCTGTACATGTTAAGTTGATACTAATTGACAATTTTGTTACATTTCCCCTGAAAGAGCATTTATATCATTCGTTGATTTTTATAACAACACTCAAAACTCATGTGTTACGACTATGAAAAAATAGACAAAAATAACGCTTGAAACGAACATTGTTGCATGGTACGTGTTGCGTTTCGCCCAAACGTAACAATACACGATTGCGTTCTTGAAAGCTATAAGTATAGTTAGCGACTTTATCGGTTATTTTTTTAGTCGTGTTGATAGTAACCATATAACCTCAACTCACACTTTATTCAATGTACTATGAACATGCCATGTACACACAAAAAATCGATACGAAATAGTAATCATGATGAATAACATAAAATAGAAATATACAAATGAACTATTCTAAAAAAAACATAAATAAGTAAAACAATATTTATTTTTTCGGTCAAGACTCTATTGGCGTTACTATAGAAATAGGTTATATTTATGACGGATAATGTTAAACCATACTAGTTGAACCTGAACTTCTAAAACGTACATTTTTAATGAAATGACGTCACCCAAGAAAAAAAAATCAGATAATACGAACAACATGAGCCGACACACGGTAGAGAAATAATAATTGGGGTTGTTATGCTTACTATTGTAAACAAAATTAAATTTGTGATAAATGCAGCGCGAGTTTGTCATTTGTAAAATATTAAGTCGGTAGCTTCTCATACGTACACCTTGTCTCGACGCAAATTGTTATGTTTGAATTTTGTAAAGATAATTCTTTTTCGTCTTGAACGCCAAGAATGTCACAGTGGTCTAGACAATTAGACGCGCGTCAGATCGGAATGATCGATGAAAATTGACGATATTTGCAAATTTCCGACCAACGGCTTCAATTAATCGGTGGAATGCCTGTAATATATGTGTCGCCATTGATGCGCCTTCAAGCCTCGCGCTGTTCAAAATATAGTCTAAGAGATAGGAGTTTTAATTCATTTGAAATTATATCAATATCAATGTCAAAGTCAAAAAACATAAACATTA